TGATTCAGAGGCAAAAATGCATGAATATCAAATGTGACATTCTGGTGATGTTTGGTGGGATTAAATATCACTAAAGGATATCTTAGGAGGCGATGACCCATGGCAAAGTAAAGTGATTTATAGTGATGTTACACAAGGTTTGTGTATTTGTATATTGTAAGCTGTAATATCATCCTTGGAGCACTACAGGAGTAACAAGATTTGACAATTAACCTTGAAACTGAAACGCTTAAAAGGAGGGTAGGTAATCCTTAACAGTATTTAATTTGGGGTTTCTTGTTTATTTTCCAATTTTAGTTTGTCACTTTTTTAAAGGGCTTGAAAAGCTACTAAAATCAACTCATGACTCTTAGTTTAACATGTAAGCCTCTGTCCATGTCATACATCGGATTATCATTCTAGCTGTCAGCAAAAACACACACAGGCAGCTGGCCGTCGAACCCCATCATCCTCCCACGGTTAGATTTAATTTCACATCAGATGTTGGCTCTTAATCTGGGCATTATGAGGACTTAAGTTTTGGAATTTTCTTGAGGTAAAGGACATCATGAAAATCATGCTTATCGATTGATATTTCTCTGGTAAAATGACACCTTCAAAACTTTACAAACTCCAAAAAAGATGGAAGTTCAATGCTATAAACTTTAATATAAGTAAACAGAAATAGTTTATCATTTATACTGGTGTTATACAGGTGATTAAAGACCTATGGTTTGCTGTCCTGCACACCAGCTCATTGACCGTCACCCCCTCTTTGCAGAATCCACAAACACGCGCGTGTTGTACTTCAGCATCTTCTCCATGTGCTGCCTGATCGGACTCGCCACCTGGCAGGTGTTCTACCTGCGCCGCTTCTTCAAGGCGAAGAAGCTCATTGAGTGAAGCTGTGGGCAACTGAACGAGGGAGGGCCAAGCCTGCGAGGACCACAGCATGGTGGGGGGGTGGGGGAGTGGTGGTAAGCCTGCGGGTTTAATGTACTCTGTTGGAGGGTCCTGTTACCACTGAGATGCTTGTAATTTATTTGGTAGCTTTTGTTTCTGCATTAAGCTCCCAAATTTTCCCTGTCCTTTCCATACCTACCAATGCCGTCTTCATACATGAATGACCTTCATGGACACCCCCAGCTTTCCCATCCCACCCCTTGTCCATTTGAATGTTTTTCTTAATCTAAATGAAAGATGTTAATAGTTTAAAATTTTCTTCATGCGAGTCCATAAGCCCTTGCTTTATTGAAATTGTAGGTGGAATACTTGACCGAAAATGGGCCCTTCATAATTTTTCCCTCTGTTGAATTTATTTTGTCACATTTAAGAGGAAAAAATTATTAGAATTTCTTACTCCTGAGATTTTATGTTGGCCTGCAGCCATTTTTTTGGTTTTTTACTGTACTCTAAATGACAATGGACGTGAAGTGAATGGCTTGCGTTGTGGCTGTTAGGGGTCTATCTCATATACCTACACAGAAAATGAGCCACCCTTTTAAGGTCATACTGGTCGAAGCAAACTTTTTTTTCTAAATGATCTGCTATAATTTTAACAGTAATGTGTACCAACCACATGTATAAAATCCGAGTACCACTTTGCGGAGAATGCAGCTCTTAATGGAAATAGTTATTGTCAACTGACAAGATGAAGCAGCACGACTCATCACAGGTGTGAGGAATCTTGAAAAATATACCCAGATGTGCAGCTATTTTGCTGAAATGTCGATGCCGCCCCCTGACGTGTAGGTCAAGTGTCATCCTTTAAGGGTCTGTAAACCCCTGATGCCCCCTCCCTCATATTTTTGCCTGTTGCATTTCCACTCTGACGTCTGTTAATCCTGGGTGGTTATGTACATTACAGTTCACACTGTAACGGATAAGATAATCTTGGCGGGTTTACAAAATAAAAAATTTTATAAATATACATTGTCTTTTCCTTCTATTAGCTACCTTCTCCTCTTAAATGCCTGTTGTTTTTAACTGAGCGAGCTTTAGATGTTATAGAAAATAGCTACAAGTAGTGACTGATTTAAATGTATCTGGTAGTATTAAGATACTAAAGGTATTTTCCCCAAAATATAAATGTTCATTTATTATCACCGAAATGCAGAATAAACGGATAAATGAAACCGACCCCGGAACAGTTGCTACAACAGCCTGCTACAAGAGCCTGCCGCAATCACGTGACCCGGAAGTCAGTATACGTACGTATACACCAACTTAATGGTTCCGGGTAACGAATTGGTCAGCTAAGTAATATATTTGCGAACACGTTTACTGGGAAAAATATGCCGGGAGGCGATAGGGAAAGCGACCTTTCTGAGCGAACAGAGGCTTTCTTGGTTGAGCTGAAGCGGAGTGGCAGCGGAGCTGGACCATTCCGGGCCTCGGTAGAAACCGCCAAAGAGACAGCAGCGTTACTGCGAAAGATTACAGCGCAGGCACGATGGAGCAGTGCAGGTCAGAAACCATCACTGTTCGTCTGCAGGCACTATGCAACCACTTATGATTACGTTTTACTTATTGAAAATGTTTAATTGCTTTTTGACACCCCCGTTTAACAACATTATGTGCGTCATCATGTGGTTAGCAGGTCATCCCTGTCGTGTTATACAATAAATACACCTACTTGTTGAGACGATTAGCGTGCCTAAGTGTCGACTTTTAAAATGCGATGTAGGCGATCTTATGGAAATCGTGCGCAAGGAGGGGAGGAGAATGACAGCTGCCCAGCCGTCAGAGACCACTGTAGGGAGCATGGTGCGGAGGGTACTGAAGATCATTAGAGAGGAGTACGCGAGGTGAGGGGGCGCCCGTCTTTCCCTGCGGCGCGAAGGCGTAGTCACGCCGCAAACGTGAGGAACACTGAGCACTTCATGCACTGAACTCGTTACGTCAAGCTGCCCTACGGCTCTGCGTCAGTACGCCAGTGACGCACGATGCCGTGGAGGCAGCAAGAAATGCACTATGCAAAACTCGAGTTTATGACACGTTTACCTCAACAGTATGCCCCGTCCCCCTTTCCAGGTCTCGGGGGAGCAGGGAGGAGACGGATCAACAGGAATCTTTACATAAGCTTTTGACCTCAGGAGGCCTGAATGAAGATAACTTCAGGCAACATGTCAAAGACCTTAGATTAAACGTCATAGAGGCCATAAACGAACTGCTTACAGAACTTGGTGAGACGACAGTTAATATTATGCAATTTTGAGAATAAAAATAGGGTTCCAATAGCCTCTTAATATTTGTAATGTGGTCAGTGATCTAGTATCAGGTATTTTATTCTTAAAATACTCACAGTAATGTTTCATTTGGTGGTAGATGTTCTGCAGTGTCTCCTAAAGTACTACAGCAAAAATATCCATCTGTATAATTCTGTATAAGTTGCTTTGAATACAAATGTCTTCAAAGCAATGAAAGATGTATCGTGGCTTTGGGATAAGTTTTTGTGTCCCTTACCGTGTGGCAGACATAACTACGGAGAACATCGCCATGCAGGCACTGGAGCACATCCACTCCAATGAAGTCATCATGACCATCGGCCGTTCGCGCACTGTCGAGGCCTTCCTGAAAGACGCCGCGCGCAAGCGCAAGTTTCACGTCATAGTGGCTGAGTGTGCTCCTTTCTGCCAAGTAGGGAGCCTCAACTTGAGTCTGAAAAACCCATCCGACTCGTTTCATATCAAAAGGCCTAATTTAAACCAGGATGTCAATAACACACACATCCATCTGTCTTTTTCTCCAGGGTCATGAAATGGCAACCAGTCTTTCAAAAGCTGGCATTGAGACAACAGTCATTCCTGATGCAGCGATATTTGCTGTGATGTCTCGAGTAAACAAGGTGCTACCTCATCCTTCACACATATGAGCGTTAAGTTTGTGAATTGCATAATTAAGGTTACTTAGTAATTGAGATCTAAACTTTATAGATGGGTGTAAATATGTATATTAATCATTTCTTTCCGTATTTATCCTGACAGTTTTGTTCTGTTATGGTCAAACAGTTAGACAAATGTCACATCTAGAAATTTATATAATTGTGGGATGTTGACAATGATAAATTCTCCCTTATTTCATTTCAAATAACTACTGAATGACAACACAATGGACAAACAGCAAATTAAAACGGGAAAATGTGGAGTCTTACAATAAACATTAAAAATCCTTTTTTCATATTTAAGGAAGCTAGGGTTTGTTTCTGGATTTAAAAGGGTCTAACGCACACTGTTTAAACAGGTCATAATCGGCACGCAGACAGTGCTGGCCAATGGGGGCCTGCGGGCTGTGAATGGGACTCATACCCTGGCTCTGGCAGCCAAACATCACTCCACCCCTCTGATCGTCTGTGCTCCCATGTTCAAGCTGTCCCCGCAGGTAAGATCTCCTCTTCCCCCACCTCCCTGCGCCTCTGATCGCCCTCCATCACTGGCACGCATTAACATTCCTGCTTTTCCTCTTCACTCAGTTCCCTAACGAAGAAGACACGTTCCACAAATTTGTCTCCCCACAGGAAGTGCTTCCATTCACTGAAGGTAGGGTTTCTTTTTCCTTCTGTTACATATTTTTTCTAAATTGCTATCATGACTAGCAATGCCTGAAATGGCTGGTGGGTATTTACCCCCAGTCAAACCAGTGTTTGTGTGGGGCCGCCGAGGTTTTGGGGCCCGGAAGTGGGGCCGCAGAAACCTCAAAGGCAGCCCTGCCGCCCATGACCGCATGGGCAGGATCACAGAGTCATGCACACGTTCCCTGCCTTTCAGGGGAGATCCTGTCCAAGGTGAACGTGCATTGCCCCGTGTTTGACTACGTGCCTCCTGAGCTCATCACCCTCTTCATCTCCAACATCGGTGGCAACGCCCCCTCCTACATCTACCGCCTTATGAGTGAGCTGTACCACCCAGAGGACCACGAGCTCTGATTCTCCCTGTAAATAAAAGACCATATTTAATTCTGTCTGGTTTGCTGTAGCTGACTTTGTATTAAACTTGAAGGAGAATGTATTTGAAATACTGAAATTATGCAGAGCTGTACTCATTTAATAAATAATGTATAAATAAACAGCTAAAATTCACAGCAGAGGGGTATCTAATGCCCAGTCTTGTTTCTGCAATGTTGCCGCGTAGCTTCTTGTCTTCCTTACTCGTTCCCATGCCGTTTCCAGGCTTGGTACCTCAGCCTGAGCTTCCTTATGTTTGGCTTGGGAGGCCTCTGTAAAAAAAACAAAAACATAATGGGGGTTTGCAAAATGGCTGCACACACAGGATCTCTGATGCTGAACCGATGCCTGTCATTATAGACAAATACTGGCTTGCCAGACCTTGTGGCAATCATGCTACGGTGCAGTTTATCAAATGATTTTGAAACAGCTGGTTCATAACAAATCCATCCAAAGCGAATACATCTGTCCATCCAGCTGCTTATCCTATGGAGTGGGGGTGCAGTACAAAGTTAGTATTACATATCCAGCATTAACTGGCTAGAGTCAGGTTAACCCTGATTGCTGCAATCAACATTCAACAGTACTGCAGTCCTTGGCAAAAAATGGGCCAAACCATTCAATGGTCATACACAGTTATTGCCAGTCCGGTCCTTGGGGACCCACAGCAGTCCCATGTTTTTGCTCCCTACATGGCAGGACAGCAGAAAGCAAAAACATGGACCGTCTGTGGGTTTTGCAGGACTGGGTTGGAAGACACTGGTCTTAACCACAAAATCATTGGTTGGAGCCATATATAGAGGAGTTGCACGTTGAATCTTATTTTATTGTATACAATGACAATAAAGAAATTAAATTCAGATAAATAGCAAGAACATAAATTTTAAAAATACCCTTCTGAGACCTGTGCTACCATTTGCTTGCTGATGCAGTGAACTGTGAAAAGGAGAAAGCTGGAAACGGAAATTCACTTACACCGAGATAAAATCATGAAAAGATTTAAATGTTTGATAATTCAAACTAACACATTTGGGTGTTCAAAATTTTCCAAAGTATCTTCTATTTACTGTTGAAACCGTTAAAAGTGTCATGTTTTGCAATTTTGGGTTTGGCTCATTTTTTTGCCCAGGAGTGGACGTCTGTGTTTATCAACCCGGTAAGTTAACCGGGGATTGTCTGTACATGCCTGCATAAAAGGGGAGGAGCTGGCATGTTGCAAACTAAAGACACAAACTAAAATTAGGAGGTAGGTAATAACTGCCCTGCTTGGAAAACTATTGCCAGCACCCTACCACCCCAGAAAGGTGTCTTAAAGGAACCGACGACGAATATCAGTATCGGGATAAAAACATTTCAATTCATTCGTATCGGACTGAAAAGATAAACAATCACCCATCCCAACAAGTTAATCAAAGGATAGCTGTTTTTTAGTGAAAGGGCGGTTTGTATATACATTTTTGGTGAAAGGGTGGGACTTACACCTACTTTAAGGTTAGGCGTGCAGTATAAAATGCCGTGATGATACAGCCCGTTAAATAGTGAGCTACGATTCACAGGAGGCAAAACTCAGAAGTAAGCCTCAAGAAAGCTGGCTAAGCCAATAAACCTACTTTGTGGTGCACCCCTCTGGGTCAGGCTTATGGAGAACGGAGGACATGATATAATTTCTAACAAAAAAAATCACATACAGCCTCAGTTAATTGGTAGGTACACTAGTCAGTCATAGCCAGGATAATTTCACTCAGATCTCTACATGCTACAGACCTGCTGCTCGGGGTCCAGGTGGAGCAGGTCAGCCAGCGGCACCATGGAGGGCCGCCCGTGGGCGCACTGGAAGGGCAGTTTGCAGGTGGACAGGGAGCCAATCAGGCTACAGCATTCTTCCCTGCTCAAGCTGGCATTGAATTTAACGGCTCCTGTTGGTGTGATAGCAGTAACATTGGCTGGCAGGAGAGGTAACACTGACACTGCATGTAGCTCATAAATGGTAGCTTATCTATATGGCAAACAGCACTACCGTAAATCTGGAAAACGCCATGGTACAAGGTAACGTACAGCTGTAATGCGAGGTTGTTCCAAATTCTGCTTGTGCGAACGTAAAGCACAGCAGACTGCAAGATGAGGCAGTCTGACAGCTCGATATGGGAGTACATGGAGTGAGCGGGGAGTGTTTCTGCGAGTGGGCTGTGGTGGCTCACCATGGCAGGCCTGCGAGGCCAGCACCTTCAGTACCGTTAGAGGCAGAGTCCCTCGCACCCGGCCGGCGGAGCGCAGCAGCTGTGAGCGTGGGAGGAACTAGTGAGAGCAGTCCTGTGTGAAACTAAAACTGAGGGCCTAGCTTAACACTACAAAAGGAGTAACACTGCCACCTAGTGGAACGATTGTAATTAATCTGAAGCAGAAACTGGATTTGGGCTAGACGTTTCAATGGTTATAAACTGCATTTGTACACATACTTTTGTGATGATTATAGCAATGCTCACCTCAAGCTGTTCTTGAATGTACTCCTAGAAGTAAGAAAGAAAAACACACTATTTAAACAATGGTTTCATGGAACCTGAAATCAAAATGGTGATCAAAATCAGTCTGTACCTATAATCAAAGAATTATTATACCAGTGTTGCTGCTGTGGAGAAGATTCTCACCTCCACAATATCCTTGGTGACGGTGCGCCTCCCATGGCGAAGCTCACTGGCTTCCCTCTCCACAAAACACACGGGCACCTTCCCCACCAGAACACGAGGCTCCTCTGTCTCCACAAATTTCATCTCTAGCCCCAGACCCCTGAGGAACTGTGGGCAGGACCTACAGAGCCACGGTCACCATTACAAACACTTTGATCACAACACTGACCAACCCCATGGCTTCAGGGGTGGTCTGTAGATCAGTTGCCCAATAAGCACCTAGCATGGCTGGTCCTGACCTAAGCAGCCTCAGTTCTTCCTCTGTGACGACAATCTCGAGAGGTGGCGACACATTGGAGGATCGCAGCTGCTTCTGGCCTTGAAACTCTGGGTCTTCCTCATAGGAGTCTAGAGAAACAGAGTATCCTGTATGTCACAACCCGTCTGTCGAGGATCCCTTAACTGGAGATCAGAACACTGCAGTATGATGGGTCACTGTAAAGATTTCCTCTCGCTACTGAGAAGCCAGGTTCACCTGCTGTGAGGCTCTCCAGACGGACTCGCTCGTGAGCAGCGTGCTGGTCCACCAACACCAGCAAGTTCCCTGAAGTTTCAGAAGAACACGACGGACATGTTAACTTGCTGACTCACCACTGACTGAAAACTCAGAACATTTGGTGAATCGTAATAACCAGACACACACGCATAAACAAAGACGAACACAGAAGAATGTGGAATGATACTTTCCTTCAGTATCTCTGCAGTTGGCATCCTCCTGGTCTCTTGTGTTAATCAGACATGCAAGAAACTTCTTATCCACTTGATGAATCACCTAAAGACGATAATACAACATTAAGACTTTGGACATAGTGTAAGTTTCTTTAATTATGTTGGTTACACGTTTTAAACTTTACATGATTTATATTTTGCTATGCTTTAAACATTATAGCAAAGCACCAAACGTGTAAATCTAGACAATGCAGACGTGTGTCTGGTTCACAAAAGCACTTAGTGATGGTCAGCTTCTTGCCTTCATGGACAAAATCATGTCCTTCGTGAAGCGGTAAGGGTAGAGGATGTTGTGGATTTTCACAGCTAGTCCTTCAGCTTGACCAGTGGTCACATCCACTGCAACCTGGCAGAAGAGGAGTCATACATCTGAACATCATTTATTAACATAAGATGTTCTCTTCCATCGGCTTCCAGGGGCACAGACGGCAAGTGCGCCTTATGCTGCAAATTCTTTTGTTATATATTTATACAGATTTGGAAAAAAATTTGGAGACCACAGCAAAATTCTGTTTCACTCATTTCTCAATTTATGGGTGTATGTCTGTGAATAATATATTTATTTTTGCAAACTACAGCCTGGTTCTTCTCTGTTTCTCATTAAAGGGCTTCTTCCTTGCTTTATGGAACTTCAGTCCTGCTTTTAGAAGCCTGATACACACTGTGCTTAGCAAGGTACTTCATACCACTTAATGTTTCCCATTCCTTGTGAAGGTCGGATAAGCTGACGCTCATCTCTGGCATTAGAATGTTGCTTCCGCCCTTTACCTGGCTGGTTTCTGGTCGTTCCCAGTGTCTCCTGCTTCACCTTGTTCTTATGTACTGCTGTCTTAGAAATTTTGAGCCTGGAAGCAAACTGCTGCTAAAAGTAACCTTATGCCAGCAGAACCAGGATTAAACCAGGATTTATAAATGCAAATTTTTTTTAATATAGAATTTTTCCAGAGTCGTATCTGGATTTAGGGGGAAGCTTAAATGTCGGCTCAATTATCAGCTTTCATGGTTTTATGCAGACAAATGGAATCACAAATCTTCTTCCTCACCAATACGCCTGAATGATACCATAGTTTTAGTCTGTGTGCGAGGACTCAGGTTTACCTCGGGAGGTCGAACAAACACTGGATTTTCCCACTTTGAGTACAGTGAGGACAGAGAGTCTGCAGACTGAGGTTCATCTGAAAAGCAGAGAAACACAACGTGGAACACGGCCATGCCTACTGAGAGAAAACCTAAATGGACACAATATGGTGTGACTGCTTGGATCCCTGTGGCTTTCTTGTGGCATGAACAGCTCACCTTTCTCATCCAGGCCTGAACTAAGCACTCTCTCTGCTCTGGATCTGGGCAGGAAGGGCAACACTAACTCTGCTTGAAATGGGTAACACCTGTACTCAATCCCTACAGAGGAAAGCAAGCTGTGCTGAAAATACTCGAGGTCTTTAAAGCTCATATATTCAAAGCTTCTATGGAGGTATTTTCTGTCGTCTCTTTTCTCTGGAATTTCTGTGCTTTTGTCTATTGATACACTACATGGAATAACAAATAGTTACACGAAACCAATTAATAATTCCGAAGAAGTCAATTCTGACAGCAGATTAACATATTTCCCAATCACTAACATTTATTATAAGGAGATGTGTTACAGGGAATGTAAATCAGTACTGTCTGAAGAAAGCCTTTATGCAATTCAATTTATTCGTAACATTAGACCATGCAGTATAAACAATCTTTCTTCGACTTACCATTTCTGGAGATGACACTAACGGCCATGGTGGTGACATCGCTCACACAGGGCACTTGAGTATCTTCCACAAAAGGGGCCTCATATTTACTCAGACCTGTTATCTTGTTGATGTAAACTAGCTTCCCCACAGCATCATCAAAGTGCTCCACCCAGTCACTGGAATCCAGTGCCCCAGTATCACCCACGTCTTTTTTTATTCCCTTAATTGTTCCTTGCGCCTGCAGGACATCCTCACTGGGATTTATCCCCTCAGTTAGAGGGACGTTCAGTCTCTTTTCATTGGCCATTTCAGCTGAAAGAACATTGTTTTCCTTAATTGAGAAAATAGCGGTGGATACATGTTCAGCATTTAAATATACATGCTTTAAGCAGTCTTGGGTATCTTTATGTTTTTCAGCTGATGGGCCAAGCCAGTTAGCATTAGCATCTAGAACGCTGTTATCCACTGAGGGATGAAGCACATCAGATGGCTGTTCTTCCTTATCGTAGAGTTGCTCAAGTTTGTCCTTAGTTCTGCCACCAGCATTTGGAACATGGTTCAGTGGTACATTCAGGGTACTGCTCTCATTGCCCATCCGGTGCTTTTTTAAGCGCGACAGCTTGCCAGCCAGTGAACTCTGGGATGGGGCAGGTTTAAGTATGGTGTCTTCTGAAAGTGATGGTAGAGTGTCTTCTTGAGATGTGATAACCGTTTTAAAAGTGTCATTCAGCTGGCCCTCTGCAGGAGATAAACACTTCCCTGCAATGATTGGAGTATTTCCGACATGTGATGTTCTATCTTCAGGAGCCATTTCAACATCATCATTTACAATGTCTACAGAAACAGGCTGTGTTCCTGACTGCTTTCCATACTTTCTTCTAAATCTGTCTAGTGATCCAGCCTGCTTTGTTAAAACTACTTTTGGGCATGGCATTACCTTGGAAATCTTATGTTTCCTGAGAGGAAAGCCCTTAAATCCACTGTCACTGATAACTAAATGTCTGGAATCCTCTAAAAATGATAACTTCCTCTTTGTTGCCAGAGAGACGTTTTCATGAACTTCAAATGCTGAACCCCTGCTCTGCTGCTCAATGGCATGGCATGTCAGAGCACCACTGTGTCTTGAAGGCTGCATCACCGAGGTAAGCTCATGATCTTCAACAGGGCACTGAGGGAAAAGATGCTGAGCTGAAATCGGTCCAGGTGGACAAAACTTACTAAGTCCTGCCTGTTCTATTGGTACCTCTTCAGTATGTGTTTGAGGTATTACATGTGTGATAAACCCTAATGAGCCCAGCTGCAACTTATTCAAGCAAGGATCATTTGCCTTGTCAGCCTGAGCTTTCAGACCAGTATTTTCAGATAAGGTTTTACTGGATGGTTTACAAAAGTCAGAAGGCTCCTGCTCTGTGATATACACTATCTTCTCACATCTTTCTGTTTCAAAAATTTGACTTTCACACTGTTTTACCCTTTCAGTATTTGAACTGCACACTAGTTGATCAGCTCCTGAATAAGGACTGCCTAGTCTTCCTGCTATCTGAGGACTATGATGTCGTTCCTTATCCCCTGAAAGCTCAAGCAGTGGTCTGCCAGTTGTGATTAATGTGCTGCACTGGTCTTTCCAGCTGTCCTTTTGTACATGAACTGGACTGGTTGTACTCATGGGAAGTTCGCTTTCTAATTCCATACCTCCTGAAGCATCAGTGTTACTGATATTTTTATTCAAACTATCAGTCACCTGCTCTGACATGTTGACTTGTTCTGTCCCATTAATATCGTGTGCCAGTCTCCTGTACACAGCTTTAGATTCAAGTGTTTTCCCATCATAGCACGTTCCTGTAAAGCAAGGTACCGCAGTAGGAGTCCTTCCCACACCGTCTACTGTCCTACCTAGGCTGGCCAGAAGTTGATTCACACTGTTCCCAGCAAAATAATCCTGGGTGTCCTCAGGTGAAAGTTCCGTATCCAGATTCTCTCTGGTCAGAAAGCTTTTGACCCCTTGTTCCACACAGAACAGCACACTCTCCCAATCTTTAAATTCAATTAGGGTCTTGGCTGGGTCAAGGCATACGTCATACCCTGAATAAGGGCATTTAATGTTAATCACATATATAGCATGCTGCTCTTGCCCTCCTTTTTGCTTTGGGCTCCCCAAGGCAGATGACACACCAGGACCTCCATTCAGCCTGCTGGCACCACAGACCCCCTTCAGGAGTGAATTCAGCAGTTTATGAATGTTTGTCTTCAGGACAAGTCTGCTATTGACAAATAAGTACTGAAGGCTGCTGTTGTAGTGACCCTCACGGCCAATGTATCCATTGAGCTCAAACTGGCCATGAGGGAAGCTTACCTCCCCCAGCTTCTGGGCCTTCCCCAGGCCATGAATTTGTATGAATCTGTGGTAGGTGCTTCTGGCCTTGGAGAGCTGCACCACCATGGCTCCGGTACAGTCATTCTTTAAGGTGAAGGAGACAGATGGATGCATTAAGGAGAGGGCCTCAACCCTCCGTTTGATGCGGTCACACTCAAGCACAGGGTCTACCCTTTTTCTTCTTACAGGCATGTTGTGAAAAAAGTTACATATCACCACTGTTGTTCCAGATGATGGTCGAGTAGTCCCAGCCTCAAATACATCCAAGCCCTTGCCCTCCTTGAAGACCTTGACAAATGTTTTCACTGACAGTTTTGTCCTTGAGGAAATCTCCACCAGTGTGGCAAGAGAGGCAATGCTAGCAACTGCCTCCCCTCTGAAACCATAGAAGGAGAGATTCTCCAGGTCTTCCAATGATGTGCATTTACTTGTGTAGTACCTGCTTCCCACTCTTTCCATGTCATCCCTCTCCATCCCAGATCCGTTGTCTATGACCTGAAGTTTGCAGGCCTCCATGTCCATCCTGACAGCAATGCATGTCGCGCCGGCATCTACACTGTTTAAAACGAGCTCTTCCACACATTGCTGTAATGATACTATCGCAATTCCAGAGCGAAGCTTTGCTTGGACTTCTTCTGACAAGCACTTCATTATTTCAGAAATTTCCTTATCTGACAGTTCATTTTTTGCAAGTTATTCCCGAAATGCGGCTAACTAACTCGGTTACTCGAACGTCAGTTCACCCATAATCACTTCTTGCTTAGCTAGCTAACTGGCAAATTATAAAATATACGAATGCTTTAGTAAGTTATTTGCTAGATATATACGTAAAAAGTGTATTTTTTGTGGTCAGTCTAGTTCATTTTAGTTGTCTGCATCGGATAGATAACCATATACTGAGATAGCAGGTAGATTTCAACAGAAATAACGGCATTTAACTGTCATTTTAAATAATATCGTACAAGATGACACTGCGCTGAATATTTATGTTAACAAATAAAACTTTTTTAAAATATAAAAAAAAGCATAAGGTAACTCTCGTAATGACACTTATTAACATAAACCCATGGCTTTACTGGCCGTACATAATTTCTTCTGCACATGCATTTACCTCGAGCCTATTGCTACTCGCTAGTGTCAGCAGTCCAGTGTTACTCCGTTTAATGTTTACATGTAGTGCGCAGGTTCATTTCCGTCTACCGCCACCTACCGGTACGGAGGACTCGATCGTCAAAGCAGTTTGATTTTCGTTGTGCTGTCCATTCAAAACAGTTATGATAAACTGATAAAAAGGGTATTTTGCTTAAAATACATCCTCATATTTTAGATAATAAAATACGTTTTTTTCTCTGATTAAGTATATATGGAGGCTAAGTGTATAAGTATATATATAACCTAATAATTCAAACACCGGATTTTGAGGCTTATTTATTGCTCCACATACCGTTCTGTAAAGGACAACCATATTTTCATTACACAGAAAGATAGACCAATATATACATATATACACACATAGTGTATGTCATCTGTTTGCATCAGTATTAATTTCATTTTAAAGTACTTGTGCTGTCATACACAATAAGTTAAGCACATACATTTACCACACAAAATGTTCTTGATACAAGCAGCCACACAACTAGCAAATACAGCATAAAAAGGATTTTAAGTGATAAGCTTTAAACATAAGTATTCTGAAAACTTGCATCAAGTTATTTTCAAGTACGAACAATTTTGAAATTCGTGTGCTCCAATGTATCGATTTTCCTTTCGTTCTTAAACTCGGCCTTGGTTATCTGAGACTTGGGACTGCCGGTGGTCTTCAGCCACTCCTGCATCTGTTTCACCTTCATACTCGGGCCCTGAAGCTGACCCTGCACTGTCCCAGACTTCGTGTTTTGCACCCAGCCAGTCAAGCCCAGGTTCGTTCCTTCTGCCTGGAAGAGTACGCAGTCACGTGACGGCATATATTTTAATATTATGCATGCGCAAGGTTTTAGAAATAAACAGGCTCAAAGAAGTATAAACAGGGCGAACTGCTTTAAAAAACCACACACACACAGACGTTTCAAACAAATACAGAACGGTATTATCAGACATGTACGACTGCATTATTACAATATAAATAGAGAGAATTTTACTGCCAAAATATATAGCTTCGTAAAATGATCATCACCTGGGTGTATTTTCGGAAAAACACGCCCTGAACTCTACCAAATATTTCATAATCCACTGATATCAGATCTTCTTGATCAGACATCACAGAGCTCTAAAAGAAAACACACGACAGACAGAAATCCTTATTATAACACACTGTGGTAATGCAGCTAAATAAGGGACATTGCTACATGTTTACTAAGTATGAAACCGATATCCCTTATTCAGCTGGCTAAAATTCTTAAATTCGCCCCAAAAGTACCTTTAGAACCAATAAGACAACCTGCAAGGTTTTATAATGTGTTCTCTTAGCAAGTGACTAATTAGCTAAAAGCATTACAACATGAACTGTTTATGCAGCAGAAGTCTTGAAAATACTTACGTATGACCTTTGCAAATTTGATATATTAAATGCCGTAAACTGTATACCCAGGTTTGCCGGGTTACGCGGCTCACACATCCGGGGTAACGGAAACCATCCACGTGTTTTGCTAGAACCAATCACAGCACTAGAATTAGTCTACCTCATAAAAACAGTAAGGGATGCAAGGGGATGAGAGTGGTTTCTAAGCAACGGACACCAACAAATGGATATACGGACTTTGAGCAATACTGAATATAAGCATAGGTAACATTCGATTTAATTTATGTTTCCTACTCTTTATATAATAAAACACACATTAAAGGACAAGACTACTTTAGAACTACTAATTTAATAATTAAACCGCAAGAATTAATGCATCTAAATGATTACCATTTTACCGAAACACTTCGCTCAGTACCCATATAGTAACATAATCAGCCCGATTATGCTATACATCGTTGTAGTCCAATTTTACGCGGGATCCAGGCCGGGGAAACACTGTCGTGCATAAATTTTTGTTGCAGGAAATCAAAATCACGAAATTATCGACATTATAAAAGACAAGCGAAAGCTGCATCTGCCGGACACTGATGAAGGTTTCTGGTGAGTATATATATATTTTGAATATGCAATACTTAAATATATTCTGGGCAGTTAACCTATAGTTTCTTATCACCTTTTCTTAAGATTTCTTTTTCCTAAACAACCTTTTAAAATTCTTGAAAGTGGTTGTCAAGTTACTGGAGGGTTCATGGGAGTTTGCCCCACCAATCTACATGTGCTTTCTGGACATATGGAAAAGGCATATGACCGTGGCCCTCAGGGGGTCCTGTGAGGGCTGTTTCGGGAGTATGGGATGCAGGGTCCACTGTTGCGGGCCATTAGGTCCTTATAGAAAGAGAGCGAGAGTTTGGTTTGCAATGCCAGCAATAAGCCAGACTCTTTCCCAGTGTGTGTTGGGCTCCGTATGGGCTGCCCTTTGTAGCCAATTCTGTTCATAACTTTTATGGGCAGAATTTCTAGGTGGAGGGTGGCATGGTGGTGCAATGGTTAGCACTGCTGCCTTCTGTGTTGAGTTCACACACTTTCCCCGTTTTCACTGGGGGCTCCAGTTTCCTCCCACAGTCCAACAGCATGTAGGATAGGTTGATTGGTGAGTCTAAATTGGCTCTGTAGTTGTGTGAGTGTGTGCGCCCTGCAGTGTGTTGGCAACTGCCCAGGGTTGGTTCTTGCCTGTGCCCATTGTTCCCAGTGGTTTCAGAAAATGGATGGATGGAATTTCTAGGTGTAGCCAAGTGGTGGAGGGGGTCTGGTTTGGGGGTTTCAGGATCACATCTTTGTTTTTTGCGGATGATGTGGTCCTGCTGACATCGTGGGGCTGTGACCTGTAGCACTGGGGCGTTTTGCAGCTGAGTGTGAGGTGGCCACGATGAAGAGAAGCACGTCCAAGTCTGAGGCCATGGTTCTCAACTGGAAAAGGGTGGATTGCTGCCTCAAGCAGAGGAGTTCAAGTATCTCAAGGTCTTATTCATGAGTGGGGGAAGAAGGGAACGGGAGATCGACAGACATATTGGTGCAGCTTCGGCAGTAATGTGGACACTGTGCCATACTGTCATGGTAAAGACGGAGCTGAGTTGGAAGGCAAAGCTTTCGATTTACCTGTTGATTGACACCCGTACCATCACCCATGATCATGAGCTCTGGGTAATGATCAAAAGGATGAGATCGCTGATACAAGTGGCAGAAATGAGTTTCCTCCACAGGGTGTTTGGACTCAATCTTAGACATTCGGGAGGGTCTCAGAGTAGAGCTGTTGCTCCTCCCCATCGAAAGGAGCCAGTTAAGGTGGTTCTGGCATCTAGGTAGGATGCCTCCTGGACGGCTCCCTGGGGAGGTGTTTCGGGTATGTCCAACAGGGGCATACCCAGGACATTCTGGAGAGATTACATCTCTCGGCTGGCCTGGGAACGCCTTGGTATTCCCCCGGTGGTGTTGGAGAAGGTGCGAGAGAGGTCTGGGCATCCCTGCTTAGATTGCTGCCCCTGCGACCCGACCCCAGATTAGTGGCAGAAAATGGATGGATGGATGAATGGTTGTCAAGTTGTAAACCATGTTATTCAATGGAGTTAACAGTCAGACCATAAACAAAACAAGCATCACCAAAATGTTATGTATGTTTTTAACCAGGTATTCCCATGAAGCATGACTTTACAAATGGCACCAAGTCCACACTCTGTATTGAAACTTCCAACAGTGATCCATGAGGGGAGAGACCAGTGGTCTTCTAGAATGCAGCTTTCACAGTCGAATTTCCTTCAGAACCAAGCTGAAGAAAAGGAGAAGAAAATGATGACTATATATGAGCAGAAGCAGCAGGCTGCATTAGACAAAGTAATGCAGAACATTTCCCACAAGAACTATTCACCAGATCAAAAGAGTAATTCTGCAAAGACTAGATATGATGGTGTCTATTATAAGAAAAATTACTATGGCGATAGCCCAAAGAAAACCACTGATGTAGAAGGGGCCTTTTCGCTGAAACCAGTTTACCATAAGAGATCTTACAGTTGGAACATGTCTAGGACTAATAATGATGCAAAGTCTTTGAAACCTTTGGACATGCAAAGAGTCCCTCCCCCTCTTCCATCTTTACCTCTCAGTTATACAAAGACATCTGATGAGAAATATTTAAAGCCATATTCCTGGAGACAGTTTTCATTAGACCAGCCCCCCGCAGAGGTCTTGACATGGTCCAAGGGTAACACACCTCAGGGAGCACAAGGCAAGCAATGGAGGCAGGCCAAGGTGGACGAGAAGGACCAACCATGGTTGGCTGAAGACATACGCAGGAGAGAGGTTGCCCTGAAAGAGAAACTCAGGAGGACTGAAGACAAGCTGAGGAGAATCCAACAGGAGAGGGCAGCTTCTACAGGGGAGGGGGAAAGGTGGGGGAGACGAGGAGCGGAGTTGGAAAAGATTAAATGGACAGAGGAAACTGAGAGGAGACAGAGTGGTAGAGTTGCTGCAGTTGACTGGGATAGGAGAGATGGCATGATGGAGAGTGAGAGAAGGATGGATGAAATGGGGAGAAAAGAAAGGTGGAATAGAGAATTTGAAAGAAGTGAGAACAGGGGTGCAGAGTGGGAAAGGGAAAGGAAGGCAAGGCTAAAGGAGGCAGAAATGGTGAGTGAGAGGAGGATGAAGGAAAGACAGAAAGACAGAGAATGGAAGCAGACCGTAAAAGACAGAGAGCCAGAGAGACCAAGCTGGGGAGAGTGGGAGAGGAAGAGGGAGGTACTGAAGGAGAGGGGGATAGAAGATGGGTGGGAAGGGGAAGGGCAAGACGTGAGGGGAGAGAGAGAATGGCAAGAGGGTAGGGATAAGGTGAGGGAAGGAGAATGGGAATGGAAAACAAGGAATATGGGGGGAGAGTGGGAAAGGATGAGGGTGAAAGAAAGGGGGAAAATAAAGGAGGGAGAGTGGGAATACAGAGAAAGAAGAGAGAGGATAAGGGAAGCAGAGTGGGAAAGGCTCAAAGACCGGGACTGGGAGAGGGACCAGGTGAGGACACAAAGAAATGGCCGGGAGAGGAGCCAGAAGGTCCTCTGGAGGACAAGCCTGAACAGCAGTAACGGGAGCCCACCTTCGGAAGGAGCCATGATTCCTCATGCGAGATCCATGAACCTTACTGAGCAGCTGGAGCAGCTGAGTCTGGGGGAGGGGCCTAGCCTGGGGGAGGGGCCCCAGCTCCTGCCCTGCAAGCACTGCCACAGGAGCTTTGCCACTGAGCGCCTGGAGCGCCACCTGAAGGCTTGCGAGAAGGTGCACCATTCCAAGAGAAAGGTCTTTGATTCCTCCAAGTACAGGGCCAAAGGAACAGACCTGGAAGAGTTCATGAAGACCAACACAAGAAGCCGAACACCAGAGGTAAGACAGCCCAGTTTGATTTGATTAAATCCGATACAGCAGATCTGATCTTTCTTAGTTGCTCCACAAGCAGTATTTTTGAAGATCAGCACTCCAGATTCTACTGTAATTGTCGGCTTTGTTTACCAGCCAAAAAAGAGCAACTGGAGGCAGAAGCATGAGATTTTCATCAGGAACATCCGTCAGGGCCTCCTGCCAGCGAACGGGGCCTTGCGGCCAAAGCTGCCCGCCAACAACAACCCCGACTATGTAGCCTGTCCTCACTGTGATCGCCGCTTCGCCCCGGGTCCTGCCGAGAGACACATTCCCAAGTGTCAGTACATCAAAAGCCGGCCCCCTCCCCCGCCACGCCGCCTCTAACAATGGGGCAGAGGAAACACCAGTAAACAAATAAGATGATGCTTTACTTCACAGTAAATACAGAGCTGCATTGGCCGGGAATGATGATGCTGTCTGTGTGTTTTATATGATTATTTCCATGTTAGTTTTATTGTGGACTGTAGACATTAACATTTGCTGAGCAACTCAACTGATTTTTCTCCTAAGGAAACGCTGAATAAGTCACTTCGTCAATTTGTTTACAAGCCAGACACAAATGATATGGGAAGGATTTCATGGCATAAAATAAAGGCAATGGTTATATTTCATACACTTTTTAAATATGTTCCATCTTGAATATGTGCCAATAAAAACGCAAGCCATTGGCAAAAAAAGAATCCTTTATTTACATGAGGCATAACCTAAGGAGGAGTGGACTGCAAAGGCGCGTTTTAAATAAAGCCGAACGTTGTGCCGTTCTTCCACCACGCAGAACTTTGTTAATCCAACTCCGTATTAATATTGCATTCTGGCAGCCAAAAAAAAAATTACAGGCAGAAATAAATACAAATGGGCACACATTTGTTATAAATTACTGCTAAATACTCACTGTAAAAAGCAGTAAAAAAAAGGGAGTTAAGGCACAAAATCTGAATGCACAGTCCATGTTTCCTGTCACACTCTAACAAAAAGGGGGTGAATGCTACCAACCTGCTCTAAGTCATATAAGTGACAAAGCACACAAGTATGAACCGTAATTAAATAGCAAGCAGAGAGAATACATCCAGAGTGCATTAAACGAATAAAGGAATAAAACAAACACTGACGTAGTATTAAACCAAAAATGAAAAGGTAAACAGTTTATTAAAAGGCACATGCTTAAATTAATATGTACCACATTTAGGAAAATGAAATTCAAAGTCCTCTCGACACATTCTAGCTTATCACCTATTGTTAAAACATGAGACCTGAAATCACCAAAGACAAGCAAGTCCAAGGAATATTCCGGCGTGTGCGAAAGTGTTCCGTCGGTCAAAATGAGCCGTACTTTAGACCAATAAAAAGGCACCCACACGCATCGCCATCAATGCGCTAATGAACGTCGGCGCTCGATAAAAAAAGCAAGAGCAGAGAGTAAAATATAAAAATAAACCATGAATCAGTAGTTTGATTGTGCTTCGCACGTATAAGTATGGGACTGCCAAGTTACCCATTATTTCACAAGTCTTACAAAATATACGCAATGTGTTAGACACGCTTTAGTGTCTATACAGTAAATCGCTCATACATTTGCATATACATTTTTAAGTCGACACAATATCCATTATGAATATGCAGCACAGAATACTCAGTTCTCACAGACAGAGGCCATTATGTTAACCTTAACATGTAAATAGTTTATATGTAGCATATTAAACACATTTGGGAATAATATAAGTATTTTGTTCTTTCCAAAAGGCCCTTAATATGAAATGAATGCCTGTGGTATCCCACCGTTTTCAGTGGCCTCGTCCATGACACGACAAATGTGTTTTTCCTTAAATATTTACTGCAGTTGTACACCGTGAGGAGTGAATATGGTACCAGGTCCAGTGTGAACAGATAAAGCAATTTTGCTGTGCATTTTGTTCACATTTCAAAATAACACCACAGAAATTCGGCCATGTTGTGCCTGTGAGCTACGTGTATAAGGCAGCTATGAATAATAATAATAATAATAATAATAATAATAATAAAAAAACAGAACACGAATTAACAGCAAAGACACGTCCATCTTTGGTTCAAAATATGAATACCGCTGGTTTTGAGCGGCTAAAAGCACATGCTGAGCGTGCGAGATCCTCACGGACCAGACGACCATTTTAACTGCACGTCAAGAGCAAAACAGAGGAATACAAAGGCCACCAAAGCCTGGTTCCTCACCTCCCACCTTAACATTATGACCGTAAAAAGAGATGCTTAACGTTGAATCCCGGCAACGTTACATCCTGTTCAGAAAGAAAAACTGACAGAAATCATCAGTTGAGCTTAAAACGAAACACCGTAAAAACAGACTGACCGTTCACACACTCAAGCCCATAAACTCCTACACACTCATATACGACACCAACGCACAGAAATCGAAGACTTTGACTAGTTAAGGAATGAGACCAACTCACCGTTGAATGGGGTGACTAACGTTTCAAATCCCTTACTCGTTCTTTTTTTTTTTTTGCCTCCTGGCACTAGTCCCACATTTCACAAGACGGCTTCACCAATCACTCTCATTCAACATCCCATCCCGGGAAGTCCGTCACAAAAGGATCCTATTGGACAGAATCAGGGTCACTCGGCCTCCGTCGGCCGAAACCGGCACGGGGTCCGTACTCAAGGACCAGCCCCCTCAGCCCCACCCACATCCTGATCCCCCCCGGGCTGACGCCCGCTGACGCTGTTGCTGCCGGTGGCAGGGCTGCCATTCGCTCCCCCGATGTTCAGGACCTCAATGGCTTTCCAGAGCTTCTCGTTCTCCTTCAGCTGATCGCTGAACTGCACGGGAGACGCACAGGACACCATGGCCGTCAGCGCCTGGGTCTGAGGTGACAGTGGCTGGATGGACAGGAAAGATAACTCACCTGTTTCTGTAACAACTGAATCATGGCCTCCTGGTGAGCCACTACCTCTCTCAGCTGCAGAAGAGACAATGAACCAAAATGTACTTTTATTACAGGGGAAATGGAGCAAATGAGGTTTTGAGACCTGGTGTCACACTGACATGTGCTGTCCTCACCGACAGGCCTTACCTGTGCCACCTCGGCACTGGCTGAACAGCAGCTACTGTCTGACACTGCCCCCTGCTGCCCACTGCTCTTCTTACAGGCTCCAGCATTCTGCACCCCATTCACCTTCTCACAGCCCACATGCGCCATCTGCAGGGGGAGGGGGGACAAGAAGGGGGAACTCAGAGAGGTGCATCCCAAAGACCACCTTCATATGGGATCATCGATTAGCAACTGATCATTGGAAGATGATACCATAATGGTTAATATCAGGTTAAAGCAGGCAGTGGAAGACATATGCTGCTGAAAAACATCTTGGTTCCCTCATCTGTTCACTGGAGTTGAGGCGATCTGGCTGTCAGGTAACCTCAGTTTGGGGCGGGGGGCTGGGGGGGTTACCGAGAGCCCTGCGGCTGCCGCTGCCTTAATCTTCTGGAGCTCATCGTAGGGCAGGGTGGTGCTCTCCAAGAAGGAGAGGGGCAGCTGATTGGGCAGGGAGTCCTGGGAGTCATTTGGCATGGGAATGAACTCTGCTTCCTGCAGCTCCTGTGGGGGTGGGGGGGGGGGGGGGGGGCAGTATGAGGACACACATATACACAACCGTGGTGCCAGTGCTGTTGCCGGACTTTTTCCCAAATCCGGGGCCAGAAAAAAATGGCCCCAGCAGGATCCAGAATGTGGAACTGTAATGGCAGTAATGGTGGGACGGGCTGTGGTGTCCAAACCTTCCGCAAACCCGGAAAATCCAATCCATAACCGATACAGTTAGTCTAATAACGCCGGTGCTGGCAGTGAAACAATTTTCCAGCTTATTAGTGGAATAAGGTTACATCGTTTTTTTATTCTGAGAAAAACAAAAGATCGTTCTGCTGGACAGATTTAATAAGGTATAAATTTGTCACAGATTGAATAAATAAAATATTATGGCATTTGAGTGGTGAAGAGATCATGAGCTTTGCAGACTGCAAAGTTCAGTTATTAGCAGACTCTTATTGCGTGATCCTTAAAAGAACGGCGGTAAAACAACGAGCGAGAAGAAACTCACACACACTGATGGGGAGCCTTTACGGTGACAAAAGTGGATATAGGCAATGGAGACAGAGCGCAACGAGTTATACTCCGGAAACTTTTGTTTCGATTAGGCAAAATAAATCCAAAAAACGAAATACAGATTAACCTTTACTTTACTTTCAGTTCCGCCTATGCATGTATGTATTTCTATTCCATTCCTTTTTGAAACCGGTGGAAACGCAGGCTGGTTCTCAAAAGGCACCAAACGAGAAACAGCCCAGCGCCGGCACAAGCTCCGAGTTGGTGGAAATGAGGTAACAGAGAGACAAATAAAGACCACTTAAACCCGATCCGACACAATATGAAATCCAGCTGACCTTTCGTAGCCAGAAGGGACAGGAGCTGTCATTGTTCTCCACAGACATCATGGGCGTCTCTAGTCCACGCTCCTCCATGTCGGCCTCCACGGTGCCTCCGGAGCCCCCATCACGCAGCCCCGTCTCGAAACCCTGCTCTAGGTCCAGGTCCATGGTGGAGGTAGAGCCCTGCCCCAGGCCTGAGAGCCCAGCAGACGGGAGAGTCAGTCCCCATGCAGGCACACCAGTCACAGGAAGGGCATCAAACAGCAGAAACATACAAACTGACCAAAGAAACAGGACAAGTCATGCAGCCGGTCTGACTCACCGCTGCCAATCGAGAGGCCGCTGCTGTTTGAACGGATGGTTTTCGAATTGAGAACCTTTTCTGTGAAGAGCCAGGCGGTGTGGGAGAAAGGGAAAGCCTTGTTAATCCATCTGTGCTTATCCTGCGGCCAGAGCGTCGGAGAGTGGGAATGACAGACTTACCCACAATGAGGATGGTGTGCCACCCCCGACAGGACAGGTCAGGAACGTGGTGCAGGGACCCGAAAATGGGCCGGGGAAGGGCGGGGCACACCTCCGAGCCGAAGCCCTTGTCGGCGGGCATCCCCAGGCGGCCGTTGCCTGCGTTGCCCCAGGCAAAGATCTGGTTGTCTGAGATGGGCAGGAATCAGATGTCGCCAAGTCAAAAGTCAATACTTGAGCTGAGCACTAATTGCTAAGATGGGACGGGAATGGGGAGGAACGTCAAGGGGGTTCATCACTCTGGATAATCACATGGCCAATGATCTCATCCAAAGGATCTCGCAAACATCCATTTCACAACTGGCCATTATAATGGCAAAAAACAGGGTAAATACCGTCTCAAGGGTACAACAGCTGGTCTCATATCCTTAGCAAGACTAACCTTCCTTCAAGAGTGCATTATGTACAGATCATCCCCCCCACCCTGCAGTGTGCACTGCCCCCTCACCCTCCGTAGCAGCAATGGTGAAGCCGTCTCCACAGGACACCTTGGTGATCACCTTGCCCCCGAAGGGGCCCACCAGCAGGTTAACCCCCGTGTGCCTCTTGAAGTCCCGCACACCCAGCTGGCCGTACTTATTGCAGCCGAAAGTCAGCAGCCGCCCACGCTCTGCGGACAGACGGAAGGACCAATCAGCTGACATGCTTCTCAAACCAACCAAAAGCAGCCCACGCAGAAACACAATAAGTTAAAGGAATTACAAGCACTTCGAACATCTGTCAAATCCATTAGATGATTTAAACGTATTTCACTGTTCTGTCTGTGACCCAAGAAACTAAACTGAAAGAATTTAAAACGTTCAGTGGCATTCGCATCCATTCAAACTTGCCCTCTAATTTACTTTGGGGGGGGCTGCCTCACCGTCAATGGCAGCCGTGTGGGTCTTTCCAGGGGCAATGGACCGGATCTTGAAGCGGGCCAGCTGCTTGACCAGGGTGAGCGAGGTGGTGTAGGGGACCCCTTGATACACCTGGAGTGGGGAGGGCAAAGTGGGCTCAGGACTGGCGAAACAGATAATAATCCGACAGGGGAATAAGTGGCCCTGAGCGCTCAATGTGAAATCACACACTGGGGGGGCATGAGAGACCTTACATTATAGCGATGACCAAACGAAGCTTCATGAACCATGTTTTGTATTTCTTTACACCAGCAGATGGTGCTCTTGGTCTGCTTTGGGGCTTTGAGCCCTTTTATGAACAGAGAGCACCAAAAATACAGTAAATGGGTCACGAAGCATCACTTCCTTACGCAGCTCTCTAACCCTCACCATCACCCTCCCTTCGGTCTCCAAGCCAGACACTGACGTGGGGTTGGATGCCTTTCAACAACACAGAAGATAATAATTGCCTTCGAGGTGCCAAATGCACCTCCCATCCCAGCACCACTACAGACAGAGGTGGCCTTGCCCCCCCCCCAGGCCGAAACAGAGGACCAGTCACCTTACCCAGTGACCAGGTCCTATTTGTTTTCCGCTGGGCAACAGAAATGTAGAGCAGCGACTGGTACCTGGGACCAGGAAATAAATCAGAAAAGCACCCAGCTTGGGACACCCTTAAAAGGACAGCCCTCCACGCTCAAATTCCCCGGAACAATTCAAGTTGTTATTGTTCTGGATACACAACACAGGACACTCTAAACAGCCCGAGGACTCGAGGGCTCTGGATTCAGCGCCCCATTGAAAAGGGGAAGAGAATAATCGAAAACGACCCCCCCTCAAATTTTGGCTCAAGCAGTTGGCACAGCATTATGTGCCTAGGAATTATGTAATTAACCATGCCCTAGAGCCATGAAATACCCCAGAATTCACTGCTGCTGGAGATGTGGGCTTTGATCACACTGTGTATCTCATTAGCATTACAACTTGCAGCATGGCAGCTGTTAATCCTTCTAACCCAGTATTTCCCACCCGGATGTCGGTCCAGTACCTCTCCAGAGTGGTTCATGATGCCGGAAATGCCCTGATTCAGACCCAGCTTGTTGACCTCATTGTTCCCGCAGGCCAGCACCTTGCCGGACTCAGTGAGGAAGAAGGTGCCGTCGGCGCCGCAGTGTACGGATGTGATGTTGGCCCCCTTGGGCACGTCCACCTGCACACAGCCATGCCACGTGACAACACAGCACCCTCCCCAAGGGCCTGCTACAGCTTCAGGCACAGGCGGGTGGGGTAAGCTCACTAAAAGCCAGCCATACTCAGGTACCACGGCAAGTTATATACTCCGAAATCCAAAGGCTGCTCAGTAAAGTTTTAAGGAGCGCACCGGGTTATTAGAAAATAAAAATAATAAAATATTATACTCTCCCTTTGAATGCGAACAACCAATTTCAGATTTTTAAGGAAAATACAAGACACAAACCTGCATGGGTATGGAAAAGTCATCCTCTGAGTCCAGCCCCAAACGACCTTTAAAGGACAAAGATGAGAGGATTTCTTAGTCCTGATTGCAGGGATGAGAAACTGTTAACTAAAGTAGCCAATAGGACATGACCACTACGTGCCAGCTAGCCAATCAGAATTTACCAGGGTCAGTTCTGCTTGCTAACAGGACTCCCCCAGCCTGAATTAAGATGGTCAGATGCCAGTGTTCTAACATTTCATCCTACCTATCGAAACATCCTATGGTTGGTTGCTGCGCACTCATGAAATCACACCTCTTTTCTCATGGTTGCAGAGCCGCCCACTGATCTATCCGACCTTGCACTGGAGTTACAGCCAAGTCCTGCGTAACTTATTTGTACATGTTTCAACATTCAGATGTTTTTAATACTTCATTAAATATATTTATCACACTGTACCATCACGTTGATTTACTATCAATGTTTTGAATGTACAATGTTGAATTACCCAACTTTCGTAGACTATAATGTGTCAATATTGCTCACGTACTTATGACAAGACATCCTTATAAAATATTTTAGTTTATCGAGGCTACCCGTGTATTTTATAAAAGTAGGATACTCTGATAAAGTATTTCTGTCCATTGAGATGTGCTACCTGTAGTTTCAAAATGGGTATTACAATCTGATAAGGTATTCCAGTCGTGATTCCTACTTACATTAATTATTTTTTATTATTATTAGTTATTTATTATATTTGGGACTATCCATTTTAAGTTTCAGGGCAAAAAAAATGGCGGTAGCATTATTTGGTAGGGTAGCACCGATCGATAGATCTATCTGTAAACGCAGTACAGTAGGACAACTTGACAAGGTAGGACAAAATCAACAGAACACCGGCAAAGTCAGAAAAAGGAGACACATGCAGGTGGATTGTCTGTGGGGGGGGGGGAAGGGTGTACCGTGCTCGCCGCAGCCCCAGGAGAAGACTTCACAGTCCTGCGTCAGAACCACCACGTGGTTGTCACCACAGGACACCTGCCTGACCGGGTGCTCCAGGAAGTAATTCAGCAGCACAGGTTCCAGGACCTCCACACCGGCCATGCCGCTCATGCCGATGCAGCCGTAGTAGTTGGAGCCGAACATGTACATCTGGTCCTCATCTGGGGTCAGAAGTCACAGCGAAGAAGAGGTGATATATGCTAGCTCAAAACCAATGTTTGCATGGTACAGAATATTTTACCACGGTCACCAGTGAGCTATTAGTGATTGCCAAATGAAGCTTCATGAACCATTTTTTGTACTTTTTTTTTTTTTTTTTTTTTTTTTTTTTTT